GAACTACTCTACTACAATGAGGGTGGGCTTCCCTGGGAGGACGGGCTAGCACCTGGAGTGGTGTGGTGGGGAGGAGAGGAAGCTGGCGCTGGAGTGGTGGATTTGAATCTCACTCAGTATGCAGTGACACTGGGGTAAAGGTCTGAGGTTCAGTTTCCTCATCTGTAAAATGAGAGAAAGAAGAATGGATTCTTCCCAGGTTTGTTAGAGGGTTTAAATAAAGTTTAAACACAACAATAGTAAGAAGGCAGTGTGAATGTTGTATTATTGCTAGCAGTATGTATTATCTTATTATAGCTGTAATGACAAGTGAGGACACTGAGGCTCAAAAAGATTAAATGTCTTCTCTGGAATCATATATATTATTAATAGACTTAGCATATGAATCCAAGTCTATCCTTCAATAAAGGCCATACTCTTTCTTTTTTTAAATATAGCACATGTAGGGATCCCAATGCAGGTGTTTATAAGAGCTTATAATCTCCAAAGTATTATCAGAAATAGATGCTGTATATTATATAAAATGGTATGCATAATATGATCTCTCCCTCCCTTTTCTTTTTTCTTTTCCTCTCTTTCTCCTTCCCTCCTTCCCTCCCTCTCTCTCTCTTTCTTTGAGACAAGGTCTTGCTATGTAGTTTAGGCTGACCTGGAACTCAGTATTTAGCCCAGGGCTGGCCTTGAACACGAGGCCAACCTCCTGCTTTAGCCTCCCAAGTGCTGGATTACAGGCGTTCACCACCATGCTCATCTAATCTAAATTTTTTAAAGTGTAGAGTTCGTTACAAACTTCTCTATTGCCACCACTGACTCTCATATATCATCTCATCTTACTTTTTATCCATTTCTCCTACTAAATTAATTGCATACACAGAGCCAGACATACAGGATTTAATATTTGTTAAATTGATAAGCAGTACTGGATTTTTAAAAAGTAAGTGATTTGAGCTGGGCATGGTGGTATACACCTATAATCCCAACACTCTGGAGGCTGAGGAAGGAGGATGGCTATGAGTTGGAAGTCAGTATGGAATACATAGAGAGCTCAAGACCAGCCTGAAGTATAGAGCAAGACCCTGTCTCAGAAAACAAAGTAGCAATTTAACTTATGTATTTAGTAGAGAATAAGCAATAGATGATATATAACTGAGCTAAAAAGTAACAAAACATTCAAACTGTCCCAAAATGTATTTAGAGGAAATTAATATTCACTGCACCCCTTCCTATAGATACCAGTTTCCTATTCCGAGGCATCCATGATGACCAGTTCATTCAGATATTTTTATAGAATTGAACTGAAATAAATTTTAGTGCAATTTAAACTTATTCCAAAGGAGTATTAGGAGTATTTGTAAAAAATTAATTAGTTTGTTTTCTTTCTTGAGAAACACCAACTTCCCTCGAACTCACAGAAAGGAAACTCAGATGCAAACTTTTTGAGTATGTATAGATAGATGTACAAGCAACAGCAGAGAAAGATGCTAGTTACCGTATCCACACACTCCATGAGGTAAAGCATCATTTGATTCTATGTAATTCTAGTGTGATTCCTATCCTTGCAGCTGGTCTCATGATCCATTTCTTCGTAATCCTTTGCTTGAGATTTTATTTTTTTAATTGGGCAATTCATGGAAAAGAGTTGGTATTCTTTGACTTGAACAAGACAGATGGTTTTCCCTTTTGTTCAGCAAGATGTCTGAGGTCACTCTAACACAACTCACACAGTTTGAGACAAGAAAGTGCTTTCTGGAGGAAGAATAACACTCTTCTCAGTGCGTTTTTTAGTCAGACAGCTGTCTGCCTCAGCCCTGGGAGACAAATTACCCTAGTGCTTCCCTAACAAAACCTCCTACAGGGACTGGGAACTTGGCACTGCTCTCTGTCCTGATGCTAACCTGCTCCACTTATGTGAGCTTTTGTCATAGCATGGAACACTGAGACTTCAACTTTGCTGAAAAATGACACCTCACATGTCATTTCTTAAAATGTAAAATTAGGGCTGAAAAAGTCAAATTAAACTGTACAAGTGGTTCTATGGCTATGGAGGAATTGATATTGAAATATTTACAATTCTCGGCTTTATTCTGAATATATTGATTCAGATGTTTCTACTCCTCCATATTTTTCTAGATTCCATTTCCACACATTAAGTACACATTCATTTTATTTAACCAAGAACAGATTGAACAAAAAATTACCCCAATTGCCCAGGTTTTCCTAGTGTTTTTTTTCCAAAAAATCAGAAGTCTAAGGTCTGAAAAGTAATAGCTATCATTCTCATACAATAATTTGGGAAAATAACTGTTTCCTTCCTCCTTGCTAGCATCTTTCCTCTTTTTTATCGTTAGACTGCAGTGAATGAAAGAGTTGATGTCCAGACATATTCTTTCCCTTTTATTTTGTTTAAGGCTGATATAGGCATGGAACCTAGGGTCTAGATAAATGGAGCCTTTGTTTCCCCTGGGTCTTCAATGGATGATACACCAATGGATAACTGAAGGGTTCGTCCTTCTTTCCGAAATCTGTTTGTTACTAAATTATCTATTTGTTATTCCAAGTCTTTGGCATAAACTTGGTGGTCTCCCTGACTGTCAATGAGCTTTTTTTTTTTTTTTTTTTTT